TTGTAGATTGCGAGATAATGCATCTCCTATTACCTCTGGCTTGTTCGTTGACTGTTTCGACGTTCATGACGAGCCTACGCCGCTAAAATAGTGGATGACGAAATAACGTTCTTCCGTACTTCGCTCTGCGAAGTGATTATGTGATACGTCACTTTGATTATTGCTCACTCTCCATGACAAGAATGGCGAGGTTGATGTTATGGACAGCGTGTTTCACCGTGTTATTTATACATTTTTGGCGACTTTTGTCAAATTCTGTTAGCTAGCATCGTAACCTACTTCTGCTTGAATTCGCTAAGTGATGAATGATGTGTATTTCTTTAGGGACCCAGTTGGAGACGATGATACGCCAAGGATTAGAAGTTCAAGCCAGATAATCTTTTCCTCTGATGAATCAGACAGTGATGACAATTCAGAAAGATCAAGTGGGAGAGCAAGTGATTTCTGGAGTTCTACGCCTACTGATGAATTGGAAGAACCGCGCAAAGTTCGAAAGCGAAGGCGGTTAATCTGTAAGGACAGCAATAGCGAAGAAGAGGTATGCTCTAGCTGTCATAACCAGATCTTTTCATTTTCAAGTGCTGTTTGGAAAACTGAGACAGCCTGAATTTTGTAGTTAGATTAAGCTATGGATTATCATAGTGGACCATAAAATTGATCAGAAGCATCCGCGAAAGTATTTTAGTACAACGAGAACTGACATGGAAGACCTAATGCAAAAGAACTTACCGCGCTGAAGCTTCTTTAAAGAGATACCTTTTCCCACAGCTAAACTTATGATCTCAGCTTTTCAGAAAGTTTGCGCCTATGAGTTACATGAATCGCTTACGGTTTGCCGCGGGCTGTTATAACTTGATCAAAGATTTAAAGGGCGTCACATCGTGTTGCTCACTATTCAGAATATGTGTTTTCTGTAGATTTGGCATACTTTATGCTGCTCTTTCATTGGTCATGACCATCATTCATGATGGATTGTTAAATTCAGGTTCGAAAAGTTTTTGCATATGGTTTTTATGACATTTCCGGATGAATTGTGGATATCATCGACCAACGCCGGGATTGTGGGGAAGACACCAGCGGACTGGAGAACGGGAGTTGTTGTGCCCCTGTTTAAGAAGGGAGACCACAAGGAGTGCTCCAGTTATAGGGGCATTACTAGGTAAGGTCTAGGCAAAGGTGTTAGAAAGGAGCTGCCGCGGAATAACTGACTCCAAGA